ACTAAGCATGGCTATTAAGCTACATGAACATAAAAAAAACGTGTTAGTGGTACTACTTGATTTAGTACTGCACACTTAAAAAAAACAAGCTTTTCTAACTCACTAATCTTAAGTTTACTTTGCTTAATTTTTTTGAGGCAACGAGTTTGCATACTTTTTTTAAGTAAGGTCAACTAATTACATTTTACAGTGTATGCGGCATTATAAAATAACACACTCATATAATCATATATTGCCCAAGCTTCTAATTTGATCAGCTGTGTAGGACAGGATGGCATGTAAGAGGCACAATATTACACTTTTAACGGTGCATTCGAAGATTCTAACTGGAAAACAGCCCAGTCTCGCTGACCGCTCCAGAAATCTCCCTCAGGACTCAATCTTCCTCCCTTCGCCATCCTAACAATGCATAAAGAATATGTTTTCATTGACCTTTGGAAGAGCAAGAGGGTCTGGTTATATTTGTCATATAGCTGTCCCGTCTGCGCCTCGCTCCCTCTGACCTTTTCAGCAGGCCTGTTTAACAGGGTGATAAACTGCAGCATTATGAGCAATGCTGGACGCGGAAATCATTTTTAAATGATAAAGAGCAGATAGAAAGGGTGCTGGAGAATATTTTCTTTGCTTTCATAAAGACACTGCAGGTGAATGAGGGTAAGATGTTTACTAATTATTGTCACCATATTTCCTGAGTTGATTGATTACACTGCAAACGCTTTTGAATCAGAAGTTTTCTAAAATTGTATGTTTAAATATGTAAGTGATCCATTATTTTATAAAAATGCTCATTTGCATACATTTCTATAATAATAATGATTAACAATAATAATAATAATAATAATAATAATAATAATAATAGGGTGGCAGCGAGGTGGTGCAGTGGGTAGGGCTGTCGCCTCACAGTAAGAAGGTTACTGGTTTGTGCCTCAGCTAGGTCAGTTGGCATTTCTGTGTGGAGTTTGCATGTTCTCCCCATGTTGGCGTGGGTTTTCTTCGGGTGCTCCGGTTTCCCCCACAGTCCAAAGATATGCGGTACAGGTGAAATGGGTAAGCTAAATTGTATGTGAGTGAATGAGAATTAATGAGTTTAAAACAAATGCTGGATAACTTGGTGATTCATTCCACTGTGGGGACCTCTGACTAACAAAGGGACTAAGCTGAAAACAAATGAATGAATAACAATAGGGCAGCATGGTTGTTTGGTGGTTAGCACTTTCGCCTTACACCAAGAAGGTTGCTGGTTCGAGCCCTGGCTGGGTCAGTTGACGTTTCTGTGTTTGGACTTATCATGTTCTCCCCATATTCACGTAGGTTTCTTCCGGGTGCTTCGGTTTCCCTCACCGTCCAAAGACATGCACTATAGACGAATTACCATATTTGTAATTATTCAGGATACATACACAGCAAGGTGGCAAAAGAAAGGGAGTTTTAGCATTTACAGCGAGGGAATGACATCCGATGTGGTACAGAGTTTGTTGTTGTCCTAAAAAGGAGTTATATTGATTACATATTATATATATTATTTACATAATGCTTTCAGCGTATCTTAACAGCTTGTCACCCAGTGATAAGCACAGTGATTCAGCAAAATTAACGTGAAAGTGAGTGGCATTTGTCTGACAGGTCCATTTATGATAGCACCTCCCCCCAATGGATATTGGATAAGACGAAATGGCCAAGCATCCAGCGTACACATTACTCGTTTTTGATTGCAGCAATGATTTCAGCAAAAACAGTTAAATATGGTTAATTAAACTGTAGACACTGAATGCTCAGAATGAAACGTAAAAGGGTAAGATCACATACTTAGCCGTACAGGTGTAATTAGCGGTCAGAATGCAGTTGTTTTGCTTGTTGATGATTACCCAGGCCTTGTACAGTTCCCTCTTCTTTCCTTGTCTTTGGCAAGGTAGAATCTCGCACATGACCACAAAGAACAAAACTGTTGGCATCCAAAGACTTGTAGGCCTTTAACGTCTCTCTTGTTAAAACACTTGGAGCTTCAATGAAATTGTACGATCTTATAAAGGAGGCCTGGCATCTAACCCCACCCCTAAACCCAACCGTCATTGGGGAATGAGCAAATCGTACTAAATTGTACAAATTAGATCAAACAAATTCATACGAATTAGCCACTAAATCAAAGAGTTACAAATTGCTGTGAGATTGTGTTGCAGAAAAAGCACAAAAAATATTTTTTTTCCCCAAACTTTTTGTAGAATAACATGTAGTAATCAGGAAAAATTTGTATGAACACACCCTTTCTGTAAAAATCTTGAGAATAAAGGGCTGCTGAGGTGAAGAATCAGGTCTCATAAAAAAAAAACTCATGGCGGCAACTCATGGTTAGCACTGTCGCCTAACAGCAAGAAGGTCGATGGTTCAAGTCCTGGCTGGGTCAGTTGGCATTTCTGTGTTGAGTTTGCAATTCTACTCTAAACTGCAACTCTAAATGTCAAAAGAAGGTGTTTAAAAGTGCCAGAGATTTATTTATTGGCATCCAGCAACTAGAGTAAGCATGCATCAACAGCAAAGACTACTTGTCCCTTTTTGAGAGAGAGCAAACACATCTCTTCAGGTTTACTGTTTTAAATCACCCAATGCTTTTACTATAATTTAAATAGATTTCGTCCTCCACATATTCCTGCTTAGGTTATAAATGCTCCTTTAAAAATGACCAGTGGAAAGCATTCGCTTGAGTGATGGCAGCAAAAAGACATTTTCTCCAGTCTCAGAACAGATAAACTCGCAGGCATAGTCATAATTCATTTGGGGAGATAATAAAATGTGCTTTATGGTGTTCTCAGCATCACTTAATTGATATTAGATACCTGAACATGACAAATTATGCATGAAGACTTAAAGCGACATCTGTCCTCACTTCATCTGTCGAGGCCTCATAACTAAAGCACCGAGAGTTAAGAAAGTTCTGGAAAGGTTGATTCAAAGTTATAAGCAAGTAGGAATGTTAACAGAATGTTTTATGCAATATATATATATATATATATATATATATATATATATATATATATATATATATATATATATATATATATATATATATTTATTTATTTATTTATATATATATTTTTTTTTCTAAAATGATTTTTGGAACATAATCACTTGTTTCAGTAAGTATAAAGAACATTTAAAATTGATGTTTCCATAATGTTTGCAAAATTATATCATACCCTCAGTGTTTACACAATTAAAACATATTCAAATCATATTCAGACAATCTCCAAATGTTCACATTTAAATTACAGTAAATTACATTTACATTTCAACGCAAAAAGCATCACTCACATTTATTTTGCAATTCCAAGTTGATTTCTCTCCATTCTTTTGTCTCAGAATTTACTGAGTTTTATTATTATTATTATTATTATTATTATTATTATTGTTATTATTATCATGATGATGATGATGCAGACAAATATGCAATTTACAGGTGACAAATTAAATACAAAAACAGTCAACAAAACATAGCCTACAATTCAGATAGCCAACATTATTTGTGTATGTGAGTGTGTGTAATTGTAACTGGTTGTAGGAGTGGAAATGATCAATTCAATTCATGTATATTTCTAGAGAACTTTTACGATGTAGATTGTGTCAAAGCAGCTTAACAAAGACATTCTAGTAAATTGAAACTGTCAGTTTTCAGAGATCAATTCAGTGTGGTTTAATTTTCACTGTTGAAAGTCCAAACACCGAAGAGCAAATCCATTAAAGCGCAGCTCCACAACCAAGCAAACTAGTGGCGACAGTAATGAGGAACAATACTTCACCAATTGACGAAAGTGAAAAAAAAAAAAAAAAAAACCTTGAGAAAAAACCAGGCTCAGTTGGGGACGACCACTTCTCCTCTGGCCAAACTTCTTGTGTAGAGCTGCAGTCTAGGCGCCAGCGGCTGGAGAACACTGGACGTACATCATGGAGAAGCTGCAGGTGGGAGTAGGTCTGGCTGGGCCTGGGCCATATCTTAGCTCTAACTTTTATTCAGTATTGTGAGTTTATATCTTTTATTTAAAAGTTTATTTCTTCCAAATCTAACTGTTCATCTCAAATTTGTATCTCAAAATGTTAAATCAAACAATTCCGACTCTTCTCATTGATTTTTTTTACAAATTCCCTATCTTCTTTGAAATGTATGTTGATATGTTACATTTCAGACATTTTACAGTTTATATCTCAAGGTTTTAATATTTATTATGCCTACATTTAAGTTCAATTCCAATTTTTCTATCTGCACTGTGGGATTATTTCTCACAATTACACTTTTATTTCCTGCAGTTGAAGTTTTTTCATATCTTGCAGTTAGACTTATGAGATACAAATTCACAATTATGAATTTCGATAGTCAGAATTATAAACTCTTCCTTCTTTTAATTTTATTTCGCAGTATGACTTTATACCTAGCAAATCTAAGTTTGTTCTTCAAATGTTTATAATAAAAAAGGCTTTTCATACTCTGCTTTTTTTTATTTTTTATTTTAGAACATCTTAATATAATGTGATCTCAGGCCACAAAACTCAAAGGATAATAGTTTTTTTTTTAAATGATTGGAGATGAAGATTTGCAGTTGATTTTAACTTTTTTCATCTTACCCCCTTTTGAAATATTATCCACAGTCCAGCTCCCAAAAACAGGACCCTCTTTCTTCCCCACCACACCACACGAAAATCTCAAAATTAAGCTAATTCTGGGTGTGCCTTAACACGGGGCGTCAGCGTCAACGCTTCCCATTCACTTTGAATAGGTGACGTTAGGGGTTGCCGAACTGCATTGTGCATCTGTCGGTGCCGCTTCAGAGGCGTTGCTCGCTGCAAAAGTTGGGACTAGCTCAACTTTTCAAGCGCCGACGGAAGCATCAGCCAATCAGATCGCTGTGTGCAAATACACCAGCTAGATAGTGGCCTATTGCTGACTGAATTTCATTGGCTGACGCTTCTATGATGATCGCTTCAGCCCCAACTTCAGACACGCCTTCAGTCAA